GCATTACTAGATCAATCAATATGATGGAATAAAAATTAGATGTTTTAAAATAACTGTTAAATATATTATAAATTACAGTATTTCGTCAGGAAAGTTTTTTCCCGGCCAGTCCGCATCGTAATATAGAAAAATTTGTTTCAGTAAAAAAGTAAATTTTGTCAAAATACATGTTGTTGTACAGGTATTTAAAATTTGTAAAATCTTGATTATTCTAGTTACAGTTTCGATATGATAGTGCGATAATAATATCAATGTAGTATCGGAGTACGGACAGCATGACTAGTGGCTACGCGTCGAAGTTGCCGACGAAGGTGCCACAATAATATAAATACTAAATGGGTCGTTTGGTCGTTGGCAATTTGTTTTATGGCATATTGTTTTATACATATACATAGAAAGCTAGTTACTTGAGCATTAGCTTTGTGTGTGGGAAAATTTTTGTAGCGTAAGCAAAAAAAAAACGGGTAAGTGGAAGTCACTCTAAGTACCTAAGTTACAAATCGGTGATTGTAATGGATGGTATATAATATTATTGTATACGAAAAACGATTCTGAGCGGAAACGGTTTGTCAGCCTACGATATTTTATATTATTTTTATATTGTTATTAATACTTACGGTAGCCGGTTAAGTTGAATTATAATTATTTGTTTATTATCATATTTGTGTATAATTATATGATATACTTTAGACATTTTAAGTACTCACAAATAATATTTTTTAAATATGTAACACAAAAGTAAAATCGTTCGTCTTCGTTTAAATATCTAATTTCGTCCGAATTTTAACATAAAATAACTATAAAAAAAGGTGGGCAAGTGGGTGTCGCTCTGCTGTACAGAAGGTTACAAGTGGGTCACTGTATAATGGATTATATTAAATTTGAATTCAACGATATAATATCATTGTATAAGAAAAACGATTCTGAGCGGAGACAGTATGTCAGTCTAGGTATAAGACATATTATATACATTATACATATCTATGGTACTAAACCAAAATTTGACCTATAATAGGTAGGTAAATATAATAAATTCCAAAATTAATCATATCAAAATATCCATTACGTACTTATAACGCGTTATACATCAACAAAAACCGTGATACTATCATAGATATATAATAGTACACTTTAGAAGTTTCAAGTACCCACGAATAATATTATTCAATCACAACAAAATAACTAAAATAGTTTTTCTAGGTTTTTTAATATGTAATTTCGTCCAAATTTGAATTTAAAATGTCTGTAAAAAAAAACTGTGTTCATATATTTTTTAGATTTTTTGGTTACAGTATGAACTATTTACGAGAACCTTTGAGTTGAATTTGCAATCCTTAGCTAGAAAAACTGAACATTTTATAATTTATTAATTACAATGATTGATAATTTTCAAGATTTTGATAAATTTTGTCAAAATTTGATCTTTAAATGCTTATAAAAAAAAACTGTGCCTATGTATTTTTAATATTTTTCAACTGATATTGTAACAATATATCAGGAGCCTTGTATTAAATTTTTACACTTTTTGGCCCAACAGATAAAACTTTATTGATATTTATAGAAAAAAAAACTAAACAAAATTGAAAGCTGTAAATGTCCATCAACAGCTCAAAAAGAGTTAAAATATTTTCAAAATTGTATGGTGTATAGGACATGCTAATATAAACATTCAGTGAAATTTTCATGTATCTACAGTTATTTGTTTTTGAATTACAACAAAATAAGGAAATCGCTACATGAGAAATCGAGTGAACATCCAATGTTGTAAAAATTTGAATTTCAAACGCTCATAAAAATTTAATTTGACATTCCGGTAGAGTTTTTTTTTTGATAAAGGTAGACAAACTTATGAGTAATCTTATATTACATTTTCAAATCTTAGATTTAAAAAGAAAAATTTTTACGAATTCTTAACTCAAAATAATTTGCTAATTTTCGTGATTTTTCCATATTTTGTCAATTTTTGAACTTTAAATGCTTATAAAAAAAAATTGTGACTAAGGATTTTTAATATTTTTCATCTGCCTTTGAAACAACATATTAGGAGCCTTCTATTAAATTTTCAAGCTTTCGCAACCAACAAATAAAATTTTATTGAAATTTTTAGAAAAAAAACTGGAAAATGAAATGGAAAAAATGAAAAAAAACTGGAAAATGAAAATGTCCCTAAACAGTTCAAAATAAATCAAAATATTTTGAAAATGTTATCGTGTATATAAAATGCAATTATAAACAACCAGTGAAAATTTCATGTATCTACGGTCATTTGTTTTAAAGTTACACCAAAAACCAAATTCGATTTTTTGGAAAATCGATTTTGCGTAAAAATTCCCGTTTTTCCTTAATTTTTATGTTGTTTTTCCCGGCGCTTGTGAAAACTACTGAAAAACGTTTACTTTTGACCCCCCAAAGTACCAACTAGTTTCACTTTCCTATCAGAAAAGGTACTGTTGAAGAAAATCCAAGCACTTTTACTGTCCTAAAACGTGATGACAGATACAAAAAAAAATAAAAAATATAAAATATAAAAAAAACACACATCATTGTAAAACCAATTCATTCATCGCTCCGCTCAGAATCTAAAAAACTGTGATTTTATATTTTTGGTTACGGAATAACCTACTTATGTGGAAAATTATTTTAAATTTGCAATGCTTAGCTGTAAAAGTTAAACATTTTATACATTTTTAACTACCTACTAAATTATTTTTAAATTTTGTCAAAATTCGAACTTTAAATGCTTACTAGAACTAATTGTGCCTATGTATTTTTAATATTTTTTAACTGCTATGTAACAATGTGTGAGGAACAAATAATTTTTTATTGACATTTATAGAAAAAATTGAAAAAGTCCGTAAACAGCTCAAAAAGAGTCAAAATATTTTGAAAATGTTATGAAGCATATAGGAATTGATAAGATAAACATATTATGGTGTACATTTAAAATATCTACAGTTATTTGTTTTTTGATTACAACAAAATAAAAATCTCTACATGATAAATCGAATGAAAATCGAATGTTGTAATAATTTGAACTTCAAATGCTCCTAAAAATTTAATTTGACTGTCCTGCAGACATTTTTTTTTTTTTTTTTGATAATGTTAGACAAACTTATGAGGAACCTTGTATTAAATTTTCAAAGATTATATTTAAAAAGAAAAATATTTATGAATTTCTAACTAAAATAATTTGCACATTTTCGTGATTTTTGGATATTTTGTCAAAATTCGAACTTTAATATACTTATAAAAAAAATTGAACCTTTTCACTTTTAATATTTTTCAACTGTCATTGTAACAACATATTAGAAGCCTTGTATTAAGCTTTCAAGCATTTTGAACCAAAGAATAGACTTATTGCCATTAAAAAAAAAAAAAACTAAAAAAAATCGAAAACTGAAAATGTTTCAGCTCAAAAAAAGTCAAAAGTCAAAATATTTTTAAAAGCTATTGGCGTATAGAAAATTCTAATATAAACATTCAGTGAAAGTTTCATTGTTTAAAAGTTACACCAAAAACCAAAATAGATTTTGTCAAAAAACGACTAAAGTTTCAAAAATTCCTGGTTTTCCTTAATTTTTTTTTTTTGTTTTTCCTGACACTATTGAAAACTAATAGGAATTTTACATTTTGACCTCTCAAATGCACCGTCTAGATAATAAACTTAAGGTACAAAGATATAAAGGTTACCAAATTATTTTTAAATTGTTTATTGATTTATAGTTTGTTGCGTTAAATACGTTTACAACCCGAGAATTTAAAAGGCTCACAGAGTTTTCCAAGTTTTTTTTGTTCAGAAAAGTACCAGACTAATAACCATAAGTTATATTATAAATGGATTATACAGTGTGTTCACGCTAAGAGGTACCGCCAAATAATTCAGTTCGATAACCTTGTATTGAAATGGGGTTTAGATTGCAGATAGTACTTAAATACACATCTTCAGATAAATTTCAAATTTTTAACTCTTTCAATACGCGCATGCGCGATACAACTTAATTTTTTTAAATGGTAATATCAGTTGTTTTTACATATTCGTATAGAGTATTTTTTTTTAACAATTTATGTATAAAAAGTTTTTTTCTAATTACAAACTTGGCATATGAAATTTAACGATGAAATTTAATACTTACGAAGAATAAAATATGTATAACGAACAGGAATTAAACTATCTTAATTACTGGCAAATGTTGTCAAAGTTGTTTTTACTATTTTATCTATGTGCAAACAGGTATTTAACAATATTGGAAATTAATAAGTAACAATAAGTTGAATTTAGTTTAGATTTTGTCAACAAAATTACTGGTAAATATTAAATTTCATCGTTTAATTTCATATAACAATTTTGACAATTTTGTAATTAGAAATAAACTTTTTCTACATAAATTGTTTAGAAAAAAATACTCTATCCGAATATGTAAAAAAAAACTGATGTTACCATTTAGAAAAAAGTAAGTTGTATAGCGCATCGAAAGAGTTAAAAATTTGAAATTTATCTAAAAATGTGTATTTAAGTACTATCTGTCATTCAGCGAAAACCCCATTTCAATACAAGATCATCGAACTGAAATATTTAGTGGTACGTTTTAGTGTAAACACACTGTATAGGTATGTATATTAAATAATTATATTATTTTAACGATTGTAGTATTTATTACGGACAATAATATGGTTACATTTTAACATTAGGTATGTTATTTTAGCGCTACCTATATAACACATTATTATTTATAAACTGACAAATAAATAACGCCATAAAATTATACTATTTTAATCTCTTGGGACAATAATATTATTATGTGTTTATGGTTTTTATACTTTTATTTTCGTTGCCATAGATATTATATTCTTTTACTACGATTGCTATACAAATCGACATACCTCTTTACTAGTTCTAGGTTTTTTTTGTAATAATGTGTTGTTTAGTCTGCACTTGTGTATCCTTAAAATTATGTTGCCTTATAATACTTATATTTTTCATAATCATTCTCGCTTGCATTATGGAGGGATTTGATTCAGCAGACTCATTTAATTCATTAACGAAGTCTTTGGTTAACTGCATATCAAATGGAAATAAAACGAACAATTTGAATAACACAATGGACGAGAAACTCGATATCAATGTCGGAATAATTCCTTCGTCTCACCCCGGCGATGATGGAAGAGAATTCGTTTGTTTCCTTCCGTTGTTCTTAATATCTCTGTCTTTGTTCCTGTTTTGCAATACATGTCCTGAGTACTTTTTCCGGAAGAGGATTAAAGTAAAAAAAAGGCGGTACATACACGTCAAGAAAAAGTGTGGTTGTATTTATGTATACGAAAGTACGAAACTACTTGATGACGACGAGAAAAATTGTGGCTGTAATACGAAACTACTTGATCCATAATAAAAGTTATAATTTAATTTTTATTTTTGTAGGTAATCATAATATTCGAACAGCCGCTTCATTTTAATGCTACAGTTTAATTTTTAGAGAAAGTTACTATGCATAGACTATTAATATTAGGTACAACATAATTGTAAAGTATTATTATACTATAACAAGGTGATCCCGTGCAGTGCAGGCGTTTCAATGGATGGGGGAGGGGGTGGCTTGACAATTAGTTAAGCAAATTGGATCTAGTTGGTACTTTTAGGAGGTCGAAATTGAAAATTCTCAGTGCTTTTAAAAATAATTGGAGAAAAAAAAATGAAAATTTATTTAAATTGTTTTTTAACAAATATACCGTCCGGTTTTATATACCGTCCTCACTTGGATTGTATTTGATCACCTAATTAACATTTTTTTTTCTTTAAATGTCAATAAAAAATGATTTATCCGGTCAAAAAGCTTAAAAATGCAATACGTAAGTTTTTTTACTCCCCCCCCCCCCCCCCGCGGACGCCACTGATCCCGTGCACTTCGCTACCCGTTAAATGTACAAACTGTATATGACTCAAACTTTGTTCAATGAGTTATTTAATATTCGGTGTATGATGTTCTAGATTTATCTTAACTTTTCTATTGCCCAGATTTTTTTTGTTTTTGAAATTCTGATTCGCAACAGTATATTATCAGGTTAGCAATCTACCTGCGGTAGATCGCGGACCCTGTGATGTTTATACTTAAGTGTATGATTTAACTCTAAAGTATAAAAGTTACACTTAAAGTTACACCAAGTTTGTCATTTTTACTTAATTCCACATACGGTGGATTAATATAATCTATTAATACAAAATCCTAACCTAACCTTACTAAAATCCGACAAAATTTAACCCTTTTTAAATTAGCTTATCTTCTTCCCATAGGTCTAATCCACACACAAACATTCATTTATATTTTATATAATATGCTGTGGTATCACTCGTATTGGAGAATACGCGGTAAACCAACTATATGCCTTACCTTCGTACACTCTAAGCTAATGAGAAATGACTGTCTCTAGAATAAATTCAGATTAACACTGTTAACCTTTCAGGCACGATGGTATGCGTTTTGTCGAATAGGTTTAGTGTATTTTTGAAATTGGTTTTAGTTTATACAACAGGCCCAGGCCCGGCGTTAGGGGGGGGTGTGGGGGGGTGCAATACCCCCCCACCAACGAATAACCCATTTATATAGTCGGCATATATAGCCATACGCTAAATAAAATTAAATGGTCGGCAAAAATTTGAACTATAGAACTAGATTGCACTAGTTAGTATTAGAAAAACATTTTTCGTGGACGGCTACGGCTACAATTCCCGAATCTAAGGGCAATGAATGTATTTATAGCCGTAGTCGGAATATACGTCGTTATCTTAGTCTTAGATATTTGATTTGATTTAATGATTATTGTTGTGATCGACGATCGTACTTCACTGCTACAATATATTATAATTGATAGTAAATAATAATACACGAAATCAAGCACTAGGACTTGTAAAAAAACTTCTTTCATTTGACTTCGTTGTTTCTTTATTGTTCATGAAAAATCTAATGTACAAGACCAAAATATTAACGGAAAAACTTGAAGCTACTGAATTGAACATACTTGATGCTTTAATGTTGATTGATTATTCATTAAGTAGCTTAAATGAAATGAACAGCGATGATACAGCAATGAACAACCTAGTAAGCAGTGCAATAAAATTTTCTGAACAGTTAGGTATTGATCCAGTGTCAGATTTTAATCGACATCATCGGAAAAGACTTTTGCCAAAAAGAATTGACCAAAATCCAAACACACAGTGTTCGATTGATTTACCTACTTTTTATCGAGTAGAATTTAAAAAAGTTCTAAATACTTTGATTGTTTTATTGAATGAACATCTAAAAAAATCTTTGGTGACATTTGAACCAATGATTACTTTGTTTAAAATGCCATGGAAACAAATTTGTTCAACAGAAAATGTAAAAAAAGTAATCGAACTATTTCCACCGGGATGCAAAGATTTTAAAATGAATGACTATGATGGAGTGATTGCCGAATTGAAAGTTTTAGATCACCAGTGTAACGTGAAAAAATTGGATAGCTTGACAAAAATATTTGAATTATCTGAAGATTGTAAAACTTGTTTGCCAACTGCAAACAAGCTATGCAGGCTAGTACTTACAGCTCCCGTAAGTACTGCTTCAAACGAACGCGCTTTCAGTAAACTGAAAATCGTCAAAAACTATTTACGATCGACTATGGGAGCAGACCGTCTCCAACATTTAATGTTACTTTATAGTAACAAAGATATTTTGGATTGTATAGACTTAAAAAGTTCAGTGAAATGATGGTCACTATTAAAGGAAAGAAGGATTAAAATTTAATTTATTCAATTACCTATTCATAATGTTGAAGTTGTTGTATTTTTATATAATATGATATTATAATTTGTATTCTATTGTTTAACTTAGTTAATATCCAATAAATTATTAAGACACCAATTATTGACTCTCTTTTACACACGCGTTATATTGTAAATTTTGCGTTTAGTATGTATTTCACTCTAGTATCTATTATTTTTAAAATTAGAGTAAATTGATCAATAATTTAATTTAATAAAATAATAAAATGGATTATTTTGAACGCAAAAATTTGCCATGTTATTTGCGTGTAAGACAGTCGACCAAGACAACACTTGTGGTTCATATTTATGAATTTAGTCGGCAAATTCGTATATTTATACCCCCCCATCAATATTTGCTAGCGCCGGCCCTGACAACAGCCCCATTCATGACATTAAATACCTACTACTTGTATTTAAATCCCGCTTTTGTTACTCATAAGTAGGGCTATGAACTATTAAGAACTATTAATTTTTTTTAATTTATTATGACTGTATCAAGCTTATATCAAATATAAAAATGTAACAATCAATAATACTGAATAGGTACTAAAAACAAATTTTAAAGAAACTAATACTGAAAATATTTTTTTACAAACTAAGATAACAATATTTTTAATAAAATGTAAATTTGATTTTAAAATAATAAAACATAATTTTTATTTTATTTTTTTTAATTAAATATTGAAGTCACCATTTACTAATAAAAATATGTGACAGACATTGATTGTAATACAATAGTATGTTCATATAAATATAAAATCACGTTTTTAAATTTTTATTTCACCAGTTTGTTAAATGGACAATTTGGACAATATTGCTTAATGTGACTAATGTTGACTGGTCCCTCAAATGTAATTATAAATGGTTTCTACTGTATATAATTATATGGGAATAAACTTGGAAAAGTGTAATGTTATTAACTAATTTAATTAATAATTAATTTAAAAAAAATTTTATTATTTGAGTATATTTTTTGTTTACTAATTTTATTTAACGAGTGTCTTCAATATAAGATAAATCCCAGCCAATCATTAAGATTACAAGTTATAACCAATTCTTATTTCTCAGTTAGTAAAAATAATACAGCGGAGTACGATGCCAACTGCATCAGTGACATTATTTGCTAAATTAAATCTTTTATTAGGTATGGAAAAAATATTAAATAACACTGGGCCAATTATGACAAATTTAGTATTTACAATTGATACTCGTTAAAGAATAATTCAAATATAGACAAGGGGACAGTGTGCAATGGCTCTTTATTTTTAAATTATTTAAATAACAATTTTAAATTATTGAAAATTAGTTTGTTGTTGAATTATAAAATGTATATGCTTAAAATCTTAAAATATGAAAAATCATATAAATTTAGTAAAATATGCAAAAATATGCAATATACATTTTTGTGTTTCGATTATGTGCATCATAAAACAAATTTATGTTAAATTACATTTTGAATAATATATAGGTATGCAGCTTCCTAAAAAATATACAAATGCATGAAGTTCCAAGCCCCGCTCATAAGTCATAACAAGAACGAGAACTATTATGCACTAAAAAATAATCAAATATGCATTAAATAGTCCCTAAAAGAAAAATTACTCACCCTAATTCTACCAAAAAATTACATTTCTTTCTTTAAATATTTTATTAAGAAAATTGTATTATACATCAAGTTAGTACATTAGTTTAATATATGCTAAAAAATTTAAATTTTCCTTAAATATTTTTTTTTATTTCACTTAATACAATTTTCTATGTACCTATAATATGTATAAAAAAAACAATAACAGTGAATACATAATCACATTCTTCGTTCAAATTTAATTTGTATAATTTTTGACCTTGATTCATGAAAAATATTTACTTAAGAGCTTGATTTTCAATAAAAATCTAAATATATACACTAAAACTTAAAATATGTTATTATAATCAAAAATATGTGCTTTAAACCCAAAAATGTCACAATATGCACAAATATGTACTAAAAAGTAAAAACATTGAATATTGTGAAATATATTGTACTTATTAAACATACGATAAAGTTAACCAGAAAAATATGCAATTGCACGAAAGTTCTTGAGCTAGTCACAATACTAGGTACCTATTGTAGTATTGTATTATTGACTATAAAACTGCAATAACAAAAATTACTGAAAAACTGTTTGTCCCGTAGAAACCACTTTAGAATATATAAAGTTAATAACTGATGCAAACTATTAGGATAAACTGTATAAGCTTGTATAAGATTTTCTCATTATCAATTATCAATCCTGATCAGCTCTGCAAGATGCAAAAGTCTTTCACAGCAAATGAAGAAGATAAAAAATGAACTCACATAAATCAAGATAGATAAACTAATTTATTAATAATTTATATTGAATGAGATTTGTCTAATGAATTGTCTAACAAACTAATCTTGGATCAATTTGCAATTTGAATCTGCGATTACAATTGTAAATATACAAGTATCTAAATGTGGGAAAAATATTTTTCATTTTAGTAATACAAGTAGAAATATTATAATATATTAAATTTAGGAAAGTGGCAGAGCTAAAAACGATAAATATATTACGTTGTATTATATTGCATAAAGTAAAATACCTATATCTTATAAGTATCTAAAACAAGTAGATTTCATTTAAATATATGTAAAGTCCCAAAGTTAAAAACTGAAATTGTGCCTATGAAACTGGCAACAATATTATGACAGTAAAATTGATTAGTGACACAACTGCCTATCTATGTTTATTAGATTATTTGAAATATAACGAAATAAAAAAATCTTTTACCGATTATTGAATATATTGAACCAATTATTGTATGCTTCACATCTAATTTCATCAAAATCTATACTAGGCGCTCATAAACAATATTTGTGAAAAAACGCTCGTCTTTTTTTAGATTCTGAGTGGAACGATGAATGTATTGATTTTACAATGATGTGTGTTTTTTAATTTTTTTAATTTTTTTTGTGTCTGTGTACACGATAAGTAGTCGAAATAATGCTTCGATTTTCAACTTCAGTATCTTGTTCGATTGGAAAGTGAATATCGCTGGTGCATTGAGGAGGTCAAAATTTAAATTTCCCAGCAGTTTTAAAAGCGCCGGGAAAAACAAAAGAAAAATTAAGGGAAAACGGGAATTTTTACGCAAAATCTGTTTTCGAGAAAATCGATTTTGGTTTTTGGTGTAACTTTAAAACAAATTACCTTAGATACATGAAATTTTCAGTGATTGTTTATATTTGCATTTTCTATACACGATAACATTTTCAAAATATTTTGATTTATTTTGAACTGTTTAGGGACATTTTCAGTTTCCAATTTTATTAGTTTGTCAATAATAAATGTCAATAAAATATTATTTGTTCCTCACACATTGTTACATAGCAGTTAAAAAATATTAAAAATACATAGGCACAATTAGTTCTAGTAAGCATTTAAAGTTCGAATTTTGACAAAATTTAAAAATAATTTAGTAGGTAGTTAAAAATGTATAAAATGTTTAACTTTTACAGCTAAGCATTGCAAATTTAAAATAATTTTCCACATAAGTAGGTTATTCCGTAACCAAAAATATAAAATCACAGTTTTTTAGATTCTGAGCGGAGCGATGAATGTATTGGTTTTACAATGATGTGTGTTTTTTTTTATATTTTATATTTTTTATTTTTTTTTGTATCTGTCATCACGTTTTAGGACAGTAAAAGTGCTTGGATTTTCTTCAACAGTACCTTTTCTGATAGGAAAGTGAAACTAGTTGGTACTTTGGGGGGTCAAAAGTAAACGTTTTTCAGTAGTTTTCACAAGCGCCGGGAAAAACAACATAAAAATTAAGGAAAAACGGGAATTTTTACGCAAAATCGATTTTCCAAAAAATCGATTTTGGTTATTGGTGTAACTTTAAAACAAATGACCGTAGATACATGAAATTTTCACTGGTTGTTTATAATTGCATTTTCTATACACGATAACATTTTCAAAATATTTTGATTTATTTTGAACTGTTTAGGGACATTTTCATTTTCCAATTTTTTTTAGTTTTTTTTCTAAAAATATCAATAAAATTGTATTTGTTGGTTGCGAAAGCTTGACATTTTAATAGAAGGCTCCTAATATATTGTTTCAAATTCAGATGAAAAATATTAAAAATCCTTAGTCACAATTTTTTTTTATAAGCATTTAAAGTTCAATAATTGACAAAATATGGAAAAATCACGAAAATTAGCAAATTATTTTGAGTTAAGAATTCGTAAAAATTTTTCTTTTTAAATCTAAGATTTGAAATGAAACACAAGATTCCTTATAAGATTATCTACCTTTATCAATAAAAAAATCTCTACCGGACTGTCAAATTAAATTTTTATGAGCGTTTGAAATTCAAATTTTTACAACATTGAATTTTCACTCGATTACTCATGTAGCGATTTCCTTATTTTGTTGCAATTCAAAAACGAACAACTGTAGATACATGAAAATTTCACTGAATGTTTAAATTAGCATTTTCTATACACCAACCATTTTTGAAAATATTTTGACTCTTTTTGAGCTGTTTATGGACATTTACAGCTTTCAATTTTTTTTAGTTTTTTTTTCTATAAATATCAATAAAGTTTTATCTGTTGGGCCAAAAAGTGTAAAAATTTAATACAAGGCTCCTGATATATTGTTACAATATCAGTTGAAAAATATTAAAAATACATAGGCACGATTTTTTTTTATAAGCATTTAAAGTTGGAACTTTGACAAAATTTATCAAAATCTCGAAAATTATCAATCGTTGGAATTAAAAAATTATAAAATGTTCAGTTTTTATAACTAAGAGTTGAAAATTTAAAACAAAGATTCTCCTAAATAGTTCATACTGTAGCCAAAAAATCTAAAAAATATATGAGCACAGTTATTTTTTACAGACATTTTAAGTTCAAATTTGGGACGAAATTACATATTAAAAAACCTAGCATACCTATTTTAGTTATTTTGTTGTGAGTGTATAATACCAATCGTGGGTACTTGAAACTTCTAAAGTACACTATATTATATATCTATGATAGTATCACGGTTTTTGTTGATGTATAACGCTTATAAGTACCTAATGGATATTGTGATATGATTAATTTGGAATTTATTATAGGTCAATTTTTTTTTAATACCATAGATATGTATATAATATGTCTTATACATAGACTGACGTACCGTCTCCGCTCAGAATCGTTTTTCTTATACAATGATATTATATCGTTGAATTCAAATTTAATATCATCCATTATACAGTGACCCACTTGTAACCTACTGTACAGCAGAGCGACACCCACTTGCCCACCTTTTTTTTTTTTATGAATATCAATAAAAATTTATTTGTTGAGTAAAAATAATTGAATATTTAATACAAGGCTTCTACTATATTGTTTCAAATGAAAGATGAAAAATATTAAAAATCGTTAGTCACATTTTTTTTTTAAGAATATAAATATCAATTTAATATCAATAAAGTTTTATCTGTTGGGCCAAAAAGTGTAAAAATTTAATACAAGGCTCCTGATATATTGTTACAATTTCAGTTGAAAAAAATTTAAAACACATATGCACAATTTTTTTTATAAGCATTTAAAGATCGAATTTTGACAAAATCTCGAAAATTATCAATCATTGTAATTAATAAATTTCAAAGAAATTATGTACATATGTTATTTTTATATTTAAGGTTTCCTCTTAAAGAGAAAGAGAGGCTTCAAAAATGGGTTCATGCTGTACGGAGAAAGGATTTTAAACCTACTTCCAGCTCAACCTTATGTAGTTTGCATTTCTATCTACAATTTCTTATAAGTTATAGTATCTTTAAATGATTATTTATTTTAGGACATTTTGGACAAGAAGTATAACAAAAATCTATTGAAGATTTTGTTTACTGGATCTTTCCAGTAGGTAGTAATCGTAGCTAGATTATCAATCTACAATATTAACTTAAGTTAGGAAAGTAGTAAGAAAAATAATTGAGGTAAGTTGTAGGTACAGGTTTTCCAGTAGATACAGTTGTAGCCTGTAGGTACAGCATCAGGTAAGTTGGGTAAGTAACTTTTCTTACAATTATGAATAATATTATAAATACCAAAAAATAAAAATGTTCAATAAAAATCAAATTTTTGTTATTTTATATGCTTATAATTATGAATTAAAACCTTCTAACTTTAAATTTACAACTTGTTATTTTATTCCCAACGTTCAAATCCTCGAAACTTCCTTTACATTTATAAAACAAATGTAGGAGTCCACAAGAAAAGCATATTTCAATACTTGTTATAGGTATTATAAATTATAATTATCTACTAATAAACTATTTACTCATCGTTAAATTATTTATATTCTATTAATTTAATCATAAATTTGTGGAAATTAAAAAATAATGATATGCCAAGTTTTAAAAACCAAACTAAAGTCTCAAATAATATCGCGGAACGCGGAAAATTAATTTAAGATATTAGCGCCGTGTGTAAGACAAAGATAGTAACACCATTAGTATGTTCCATCTCTTTCTAACATTCCCTTTCGGGCAACACTGCTTGGTGAGCATTCCAGTTATCATAATAAGTAATCAATAATAAGCGGCCATTTTTTTGGAGGAAGCTAATATCAACTAATGTTTACTAAAATCATTTTTGTGATAATATTGTTTGATATTTGTTAGTAAAGTTGTTTATTCTGTGTTATAATGGTCGACTTTTTGAGTTTGGAGTGTTTGGACTCGACATTTTAGTTTAAAACCAATTAATTTATCCACCTTAACTATTGTCACTGAATAAATTGTATTGGCTATCATGGTGGTCGTATGTATTGTTAAAAATTGCAGAAATGCCAAAAAAACAACAAAGGAAAAAAATTGCAACCTTTTTAGAGTACCCAAAGATTTGGATCGGTAAGTAATTTATTAAAACAATACAATGATTATATTATTTCATTTTTAGGAATTGCTTCTACCTAATAACATAAATTAATTTATAGGTCTAAAGAATGGTTAATTAATTGTGGAAGGGAAGAACTTTGTTCAAAGTCTGTTGAAACCCTTTATAGCAATTATAGAGTGTGTATGAACCATTTTAAAGAAAATATGTTTTCAAACCCAGAGAAAACTCGATTGTTGATTAGTGCTGTGCCTAATGAGTTTGGTAATTATGAGTATAAAATGTTGTTTTATAACTCATTTTAATCTAGAATCTAGATATTAGGTATACATATTAAATTGTTGTAATATTTACTCATATTTTATTTTCTTAATTTCAGTAATGCATACAACCATTACAACAACATCTATCTCTGTTGATGTTTCTACAATGGTTGACGAACAAATAAATTTGAGTTCACCATCTACCTGTAAGTTTATATATGTATTTTTTTTTATTCACTAAATTTTTAAGTGCTAATTCAATATTTGAACATTTGTTTACCAGCTATGTCTCCATCTACTACAACTTTGGATGAACATAGTAAACCAAGTTCACCTGCAGCATCAACACAAACTACAAAAGAGCTTACTTTAAACGCACCTATAAAATTAAAACTTAAAGGTATAGTAAATAAACTCAGTAATAGATGTGCTAATTTGGAAAAACAGGTTGAAACGTTATCAAAGCAAATGAATGACACTTTATCATGAGTAAATCATTTTTATGACGTTTGTGATGTACATTTACCACCTAATGGCTAATTTGTCTTTAGTTGTAAAAAGTTTTGTTAAAATGGCCACTAGAATACCCCAAGGTTTTCGTTACTCAAAGGAACTTAAACAATTAGCTCTCACAATTTATTTTTTCGGACCTCGTGCTTATCAGTTTTTAAAAAATATTTTGCAATTGCCGAGCACAAGAACATTGCGTAGGGTTACTGAAAAAATTGATATAGTACCTGGGTTAAATTATGTTATCTTTGAATCATTTAATTTTAAATTAAATAATTTTAAAGATGATGCAAAATATTGTGTTCTGTACATCAAGGAAATGGCGATTAAAACTATTCTTTTTTATAATTTGTCTAAAGATTATATTGTAAGGTTTAATAGTTCTTTTGACCAGAAGACATATGAACCTGCAAACTATGTCTTATGTTTTATGTTAAGGGGCCTAAACTATAATTGGAAACAACCAGTTGCTTATTATTTTATCAAAAATAGTTGCACTGGTCTTCAATTGCAAAATACAATATTTGCTGTAATTTCTAAAATACAAAGTATTTCATTAAATATAAGGGTTTTAAAAACTGATCAAGGATCAAATTTTATTGAATTTGCAAAAAAAATGAATGTTTCACCTCAACGTCCCTATTTTTTTGTCAATAAAAAAAAAATATTTTATGTTTTTAATGTTCCTCACTTGTTAAAATCAACTAGGAATAACTTTTTTAAATATCATTTAACATTTGCTAATGGAATCACAGAAAAAAAACATTTCGTTAATTTTTATAAATCTGATCAAGGCCTTAATCGCCTTGCACCCAAATTAACAGATGCACATATAAATCCTGGTCCCTTTCAAAAAATGAAAGTGCGGTATGCTAGTCAAATTTTTAGTGCAACCGTAGCAGCCGGTATGCGCACTTGTATTGAAGGCGGTATATTGTCACCTACTGCTGAAACTACTGTCATGTTTATAGATTATATGGACAAATTATTTCGAGTTAAAAATTCATAAAAATTTTTCTTTTTAAATCTAAGATATGAAAATGTAATACAAGATTCCTTATAAGATTTCCTACATTTATCAAAAAAAAAAAATTCTATAAGAAAGTCAAATTAAATTTTTATGACCGTTTGAAATTCAAATTTTTACAACATTGGATATTCACTCGATTTCTCATGTGGCGATTTCCTTACTTTCCACTGAATGTTTATATTAGCATTTCCTATACACCATACAATTTTGAAAATATTTTGACTCTTTTTGAGCTGTTTACGGATATTTTTATTTTTCAATTTTTTTAGTTTTTTTTTCTATGAATATCTATAAAGTTTTATCTGTTGGGCCAAAAAGTGTAAAAATGTAATACAAGGCTCCTGATATATTGTTACAATACCAGTTGAAAAATATTAAAAATACATAGGCACAATTTTTTTTTATAAGCATTTAAAGATCGCATTTTGACAAAATGTATCAAAATCTCGAAAATTATCAATCATCGTAATTAATAAATTATAAAATGTTCAGTTTTTATAGCTAAGGATTGAAAATGTAAAAAAAAGATTCTCATAAATAGTTCATACTGTAGCCAAAAAATCTAAAAAATATATGAGCACAGTTATTTTTTACAGACATTTGAGTTCAAATTTGGGACGAAATTACATATTAAAAAACCTAGCATACCTATTTTAGTTATTTTGTTGTGAGTGTATAATACCAATCGTGGGTACTTGAAACTTCTAAAGTACACTATATTATATATCTATGATAGTATCAGGGTTTGTTATTGATGTATAACGTGTTATAAGTACCTAATGGATATTGTTTTATGATTAATTTGGAATTTATTATAGGTAGGTCAATTTTTTTTTTAATACCATAGATATGTATTATAATGTCTTAAACCTAGACTGACATACCGTCTTCGCTCAGAATCGTTTTTCTTATAGAATGATATTGTATCATTGAATTCAAATTTAATAGCGTCCATTATACAGTGACCTACTTGTTACCTACTCTACAGCAGAGCGACATCCACTTACCCACATTTTTTTAATTACAATTTCAACACCTTTTGAGAAGTAAGGACCATTGTAGTTAATTTCAAATCTTAGATAATACTAAGAATATCAGAAATTAGATTGATGTTTAACTACAAAATAATTCACAAATGTTCGAGATTTTGACGATGTTCGTAATAATTACATTACTTCAAACGCTAAATGCTAATAAAAATATATCGTGGTTTTACGATCTCGTATTTCGCGTTTTTACGTTTTTATTATTTATTGTAGTTCGAGATTATAATATCAACCATATCAGTTGTGTATTTACCAGTATTACTCATAGCCATATCATGACACAACAAAATCCTTTGTGTCCATGGTTATTGACATGACAAAAAAAACAAATCCTACTAGAGATATATGTTTCATCAAAACTTATAATACATAGTTTGTCAATCGAACTCATTAATTCACCTTTGATAAACATTTTATTGTATAAATTATTAATAAATAATTTCTTTAAATTTGAATTGCAAGTAATTTTTTTTTGATTTTACCTTTTGATTTCATGAGAGAAAGTACATGTGTTAATAACCCAGGACTAATGGAACATGTTGATGCCCATGTTCGAGCGTTGACAAAGCTTAAGAAATTAAAATGTATGTTAAAAAATTTGTTTAAAAGTATTATTAAATGGTTCTGCATTATTTTGTATTAACCTGGTAAGGGCATGAGTTTCTTTGTTCATAAGAAGCGGTACATTTTGGGAGATATACTTCTTAAAGTGATTGCAGAACATATATATCTTCAGTAGTCCACTTGGGAACTGTTTTTTTTGGATGCAATAGTAACTGGATTTGTGTGGGCGTGAATATTGTTGATAAAATATTACCAAATCGATTTTCAAATTGCTGTTCTTCTAAATTCACAAAGTCTTCAAACCATTTAATCTTTTCTCTTTGAAGAAAAATAATATTTTTATACTCAGCATTTCTCTCATTTAGCTTTTTATTTTCTTCAGTAAGTTTTTCCAAATTTCTTTTTAATCTAGACATAGTTTAATATCCTCTATACAATATATAACTTGGCACAAATAAAAATTATAAGGAATATACTTAAACAACATTATAAAACATAAAAAAGCAATAATTTATTAACTAAACAACTATACATATGTATTTGATTAATATAACTAAAAAAAAATAACAAACATATCTAACTTGTTGTACACACTTTAAGACTACAGTAATATCCAATTTATTGTAATATGAGTATAAAACATAATTTGTTGTTAAATAATTACTTCTATACACTTTTAAGTTTTAAAAAGTGGCATATGGTCGTAAAAATTTACTAAAATTAAATTATCAACTATATAATATAAACAAATAAAGCAATAATTTAAATAGTGAGTTACAAAATTTAATTTGAACTCCAAAAAAATATGTAATTTAGATTAAACATAAAATATTATAAAAGTAGATGTTAAAGTCCTTAAATTTAGTAATTTGTTCTAACAACAATTGTTGTTTTACATTGTGTATATTTTTATTTTCAACATAATTTTATAATTAAAATTATTGTTTTCTCTCAATGCAATAAACTTTGTCTTCTTTTATTATTATTATTAAAAACCTGTTCTTGATGTAATAGGTGTTTTTTTTTACAAACCTAAACAAATCAAGAACATAAGTTTTCAATGATAGATAAAATGTAAGTGTATTGATAATTTCCTTTGATTCTCGTTTTTGTTCATATGAAATTTGTTGATCGCACAATGTAAAACACTAAAACATAAATAGTAGGTAGTTGAACACCATTATAACTTCCAACATAAGAACATGTTTTCACAAAAGGCACAGAAGAATGTAAGTTATATTAAGCAATATACATTTTATAAAGAGTAGTAGACAATAGTAATAACTAATAACGGTACTTATGATTTGGTTCATCTGTTGGCATTCCACTTAAAGGACCTACTTCCAACTTTAAAATAACCACTAGGGGTTTTTATTACAGCTGGTGAACATTTTATGGGCGGTGTTCCTGAACTTTCTATACGGTCATTATGTGGTATATCATCATATTCTAATCCAAGTTTTCAAAAAAAAAATTAAATCCCCAATTAACATATCAAAACTAAGGCCAAAAAGAAAACTAACGTCATCGGTATATCATCTGGTTTTAATCGCCTTGAGCATTTGGGAGAGTATGATGCAACTTGTTGTGCATATGATTTTTCTACAATGCAATGTGGAGAAAAATAAAGTGAACACACAACACCTAGAAATAACTTTGGGATATAACTTAGAGATATCTGCATAATATTTCAGGTGAATACATTTTTTTAAATATAAAATTGAACGAATTATGGAATTTCAAGAATAGCACTAACCTGTTTGACAATTAATTTTGTTAACATTACCGTGTCTTACAATTTGCTGAATCCATAGTTTTCGAAGTTCGGGGTCTTTTGGAAATCTATGAAGGTGGAGGTTCGGGTCTCTGTCTTTATCTTTTCTTTTACTTCCACTAAAACACCCCTCAAACGCACAAACCGGCATGATGTACAGATAATTCAAATTTCTTTTCAAATATACTTTAAAATCATAAATTTTGGCAGTAGGTACTATATTCAAAAATTGGATCGAAGTTGTAATGAATGAAATAGTTATTAATCATCGATATCTGGATAACGATAACACGATAAACAACAATTATCATATTATTTTATTTTATGATAAGCGGCGCAAGCCGGACGCCATATTTGCGCAGTATAACACAGAATTCGTATTGTTGCTGACATACCTTTTTTTTTTTTGTCATGGTTATTGATAGCAATATAATGCATTCGCCGAGCTTGCTTGGTGCTAACCGCTAATACACATGTATTTAGTTTATTGCCGATATAAATCCGATGCGTCGATTCCGAAATGCTAACAACTTTTGAAATTATTACGTTTTATTTATTTTGGAGAGAAGAATAACCGAGCGCTGCGTCCGTGTCGGACATTCGTGTAAACGAAAATCAGAACAATCCAAACAAACTTCGTTTTTCCGTCGCCGCATGCGTGTGTGAAATACTTAAAGCAAAAATTAACCTATTCAGCGTATAGTGTTCATGTACAATGTACTGCAGTTTTGTGCATTGATAGCCATTATTGATCCCACAAAACCACGTTAGATTTGTGTTTCATTTTATCTTATACGTTATCCACCCATATCATTACAATGAGTTTGTCTAAACCAGACAATTTGCTCGAGGATCAAACAAGTTCACCAGACGATTTGCCGAAGGATCAGTCGAGTTCACCAGAAGATTTGCCTGAGGGTCAGTGTAGTTCACCTAACAATTTGATTGAGGGTAAGTCATCCACCAAGCATTGACTTTAAATGATAGTTTTCTGTACTATTATTGAGTTTAAATAGTAGGCACTCAATGTCCCTTTTTACAATTTTGCCACAGAATTTTGAGCCAACGTATTTAATGTTGTTATAAATAGTTAAAATTACAGTAATTCCATTAAAAGGACTTTAAAACAAATTAATATATGCATTTTTTAGCTTCTTTCCTGTAGGAGTATAAAATTGAATGAACCAAAAAATAAAGAATTAATATTAATTTCATGTTTAGGCACATTTTATTTTCCAATTTGTGTAGGTCCGATCATCCAAATATGATGATTTTGCATTTAATTATGTTCTATTTGAGTGCATAATATACAAATACAAAGTATTTTTTGCATAATTTTTATGTATAGGTAGATACAATTTTATTTTTATTTTTATCATTATTTAAATATTAATTGTTTTTAGAAAAAATATTTGATTGGAATAAATATCTTACTGCAAGAAATGCAGAAGAGGTGCCTGAAGATTTTTTTTATCATGTAAGTAGTAATCTATGATGATATGTAAAGGGAAGTTATATTTGTAAATTTGTATTCAAAAAATGCTTACATATCAAAAACAATTTTATCTACAGATTTGTAAGAGTGAACTGAATGGAATAGAAATTGGTTCAGTCGTCGAGATTGAAAATGAAGATCAAAGTGGATATTGGTTTGCTAGTGTATGTTCATCAAAGGGCGTTTTATTGAAGTATGTAAAAAGAACTTTTACTTTATTGAATATATAAGTAACAATATTTTTTGTCAGCTTGCGTTATTTTAGTGATGATAACGATCAACACACTTTTTGGTTAGAAGTAAAATCACCACGCATTCATTCTTTAAACTGGGGAAGCGAAAATAATAAAAACCTGATACCTCCTTATCCTGGAAGATTTTCACGTTACAAACCAGAAGTTATTATAGAAAAAGTTCATGATTCTGAACATGTTGTATCAAATGCAGTGTTACAAATGGTATATTTTTATATTTTTTAATTGTATAACGTCCAAAACAACTATAAATATGTCAATACCAAAATAACATATATTTATATTACAGGGAGGTGCACCAATTCATAATGTATTCAAATGTGACATGTTTGTAGAAGTTCAAGATAGAGAATACCCTTATCGTGTTTGGATTTCAAAAGTGAAATACATTTTATGATATTAATATTATTTACTCTCTTGAATGAATTTATTACCACATTGAGTATTTTATTATTTTTAGTTGAATATTTAAACTTTTTTTTTTTAGGTGCTTAAAAATGTGGGAGGAAGGTTATTTTTACAAATGCAAGGAATAAATAGCCCTGAAAAGAAACCATTTTGGTTATTTTATTTAAATGAACGTGTTTTTCCATTAGGATGGGCAGAACAAAAAGGTATTTTACTAAAATACAGTTTTCTTACTTAGCTTATATAATCGGATTTGTTTTATGTTTAGGCCTTCCATGGAGAGTAATGAATTTAGATGCTAGCTTAGAAAATTCTATCGATTCTAGTGCATTACTGAATGTGTTAAAGGTATATAATTATAATATTTATTTTTTTATCTTTATGTTAATAAAAATATTCCTAGTTTTAAATACTTTTAATATTAAATTGCAATAAATATAACATAAATTATACTTCAAAAGTATAGGTCATATTTACTTTATTTAAATATTCAAATATCTGAAAATTAATTATTTTATTTTTATCTTCTTTCTTGTGTCAGCTATTTAAAATTGTTTTGATTTCCTAAGCCACTAATTAAATAAGTTTAGAAAAAGAGCGTTTTTATGTAGTTCTGTTTAGATATCATTCCTTTCTCATGAAGATTTGTCATAATACATATTTGTTGTAAAATATTTTTTTTAAAAAAGGTTTTATATATTTGTCTGTTATCAGCCAAAGACACCAAAACAACACAGTTATAAAGTTGGAGAAATGTTGGAAGTAATAAATCCTTATTCATTGATGGTATTTTATGTTGGTAAAATTGTTAAGATCTTTGATAATCGTTATTTTAAAGTTGAAGTGGATAATGAAATTGATGAAGATAAACGTATCAGTTTTGTGGCTACTAAAGAAAATCCTAATTTATTTCAAGCAGGTTTGAAAAATTAATTTCTGTATAATTAGCTTTTTACATAGTTATGGAAATGTGATTGATTTCAGGTTGGGCAAGCAAACACAAATTTTTGCTAAAACCTCCGACTGATTGGAATAAACCAGAAAAATTTTCTTGGTCAAAATATTTGATAAGAAAGGATGCAAAATTTGCTTCTGTAGATAATTCATGTAGAAAAAAGATTAATAATGTTCATATAGGTATGAAACTAGAAGCGGTTGATCCTTTGAATACTGATTGTATTCGTGTGGCTACAGTTAAAGGATTTGCTGATCATTGGATGTTTTTATCTTTTGATCGTACTAGTTGGTAATACATTTGAAAAATAAAAGTTTAGTAGAAATTGATTGATAAATTATTTGTTCTATGAATTTAGTTGTCAAGAATTACTACATTTACGTTCAGTTTATTCAGATGAAGTTTTTCCAGTTGGTTGGTGTAATAAACACAAATATTCTTTGGGTGCCCCAAAGCTTCCATACAATGACTCTAATGATTTTGAACATTGTTATTATTCATCGGATGTTGATATTGATTTAAGTCAATCAGACCAAGACTCATCGACAAAATATCCTTGTTATTTAAAAGGAGAAATCTTTTATCACTTTAGCAAAAAGTATAATATTTTGTAGTTTCTTATATTTTTGGTTAATAATATTAATAATTTAATTTAAACTATATTTTTAGAGACAAAATAAGTTTTGATGATGGTTTTGAAGAAATAGAAAATGATAATATTAAACCTGAAGATTCTCATTCTGTTAATAATGTACCTATAGTTTCAGAAATAGAGATTAAAAAAGATAGTGATGATGAATATGATAATGATCCAAATTTGGATGTTAAAGACGAGCCTGATTCAGATGAAGAATTTCATGATGCATTATTTTTGAATGTAAAGGATATTAAACCAGAAGAAGTTGATATTAAACCAGAAGAAGTTGTTATTAAACCAGAAGAAGTTGATATTAAACCAGAAGAAGTTGATATTAAACCAGAAGAAGTTGATATTAAACCAGAAGAAGTTGATATTAAACCAGAAGAAGTTGATATTAAACCAGAAGAAGTTGATATTAAACCAGAAGAAGTTGATATTAAACCAGAAGAAGTTGATATTAAACCTGAAGAAGTTGATATTATACCAGAAGAAATTGATTATAAACCAACAAAAAGGAAAAATGCAACAGAGGTTAATCTAAAAAAAAATAAAAAAGTTCATCATGTTGAAAAATCCATAGATAATGTGGTTAGAAATACTACAAAACTGTTTTCTAAAAATAGCTACCAAATGTGTATTTACTTTAACAAAGATTGTTATCCTGGTGGTCATGTAGTCAAAAAGAAAATTCCTAGCTTACCATTTTGTATTGGTCCCGGTCCCGTATCCTCAGTATTACGGGACGCAATAACCGCATTTGTTGATTTAGATTATTTTCCTTGGAATGCATTAAAAAAAATAAAAAAAATTCAAAATATGTTATTCAATGGACCTGGTGGTGTTGAAATGTGGATTACCACCACGTATGTATTTAATTTATGTTCACATTTTAATAATAATTAAATATAAAGAAATTATATGAACTTTTTTGATTTAAGTGCAACAAAAACTCGTAGTAGTTCCACCGAATCTCTTCTTCTTCCTGAATCTAAGAAGATGGCTAGACTATATTGTTCTGCTCTTTGTAATCTATCTGGCATGTGTGATTTCTTTATGACTACTGAAGAAAAAGAGTGTCCTCGTTGTAATAAGACAAAAAGTAAAGGTGAGTGTATATTATTTTTAATAGTTATCAACCAATATTGTTGTATTATAAAAATATAATAATATATATATATATTTATATATATTATTAATATTAGAGCTCAACATGAAACTTAAATTTAAGAACTCTAACTGTGTTTTTATTGAGGTTTTTTTATAGTATTTTATTATAAGCAAGTTATGAGCATTTTTAATTGTAATACTCAACATATTCATGAATTGCACAAAAATGAAAATACCCTTATAAAAACCTGAATTGAAGTTAAATAATAAATCAATTCACTCTAAAATTAAAGCTAACATAACACAATTGGTTCTAATGAACACATTTGTGATGTTGTATGTTTGTTGTATAATGTCCTCATAAACTTTGAGAATCTAGGAATTAGTTAGGTCAGGTGTTAAATATATTTATATAGTTATTTTGTTATATTAAAAATAATTAAATTGTCCAAACAGATAAAGTACAGCCGTCAAAACCTAAAATGCCGTTAAAACCTAAAATGGATACTCTGCCCAATCGTATGAAATCAAAAATAAAATATCATCGATTACACGATGCTCAAACATCTAAAAAAGTTGTACGCCGTAATATAACTCATTCAGAAATTTCTAGAGTTGGTAAGTATTAGATTATTTTTGTATCTGTTAAAATAACTTTTTTTATTTTTAACTTTAACCAATTAATATAAAATATTAAATAAAGATAGTATGTTAAATTGTTCTTTTTATAAAATATTTATAGGTAAAAAAGTATTAGAATGGTCAAATAAATCTTTAGTTTCAAGATATAAACATTATATGGGGAGTATATTGGATTTAGATGCACACATATTTCGATTAAATCAGAGTCCTACTGAACTGGAAAAATCTCTTATAACTGAAATTATATCAAAAAAAAATATACTTAAGAAGATGGATAAAATGGAAGTTTACAGCAATACTAAATCTGGACTTGAAACCCCTGAAGAAAAACAATTTGTTGTTTTAGACAATTGGTATATTGTTTATTATTAACATGCTTTAATATATTAACAGTAATAATTATTTAAAAAATTTTCTTAGGAAATCAACTTTTGAAAACTATTATCGTCAAAATCCAAGATTTAAGAAATATAAAATTGATATAGGACAATTAGAACATATTAAGGTCACGTCAAATCCAAAACATTGGTCTCCTGAGGATGTTTATAGGTATTTGAGAAAGGATTTGTTTTGTAAAGATGTTGGACTGAAACTATATGCTGGGGTAAATAATATTGAATTATACCTATTAAAAGTTATCATTGAACTTTATTATAATTTTAATATATTAGGAAGTTGATGGTGTAGCGTTTATGCTATTGAATGAAGAACAACTTTTACTGCGATTACGATGTACAATCAATTTAGCAATAAGAGTTCTGTGTCATGTAGCTGAAGTTAAATACGTTTGTTTAACAAAATATTGTAATGTGAATGTGAGTATTTAAATTGTGCCTTATTGTTTAAATTTGTTATAACCAATCTTAAATAGGGTAATTTACTAAATTATATTATTAAATTAAAAAATAATCCAATGATAGACTCATGGAAATGCAATGTTTAATTTATATATACGTTCTGTTCAAATATCTTAATAACTTGAATTTTTTATAAATAATTTTGACATGATAATAATGTAATTTTATACTGGATAATGTTTCTATATTTCACAAATTATTCATAAAAAAAAATACATATACTTCTATACTAATAAATGCATATTTTTTTTGCAGGTTGATTAAATATTAAATACATTTTCTAGTTTTACATCTTTTACTTAGTTAAGAAAAAAAATGAGTTTTATCTGGATTAAAACTAAGACTTGTCGACGATAATTATGAATGTTTTCATTTTTTAGATATTTAGATATATTTATTATTAAATTGATCAATTCCTTATAAAAATAATTATGCATTGTATTTTTTTTTGTTTAGAGTAATAAATTATTGTTTCAATAGTTTGAATTTAATGTTTTTATACATTTAGTTAGTTTGTTATTTAAAAGTACATTATTATTTTGGTTTGCGCTCCCGGAAATTTCCTGGAACGATCCCAGGAATTCCTGACAACGCCGAGGACAGGCATTCCAAAAATTACAATTGTTGCGAGTCATTATCCTTTGTTACTATAAGTAGTAACATATTTTAATTCATACAGTATAGGAAGTGAATTTGATATATCATATTTGTCTAGAGGGTGATATTTTGCCCCCTTCCACCCCTTAATGGGTGCTCTTGCCATAGAATAACACTCTATAAATCTATGATAATACCTCCCTGCGGTATCTTCCAAGTATTCGGTCTATTTACGAACATTTATTAAATATTATTAATAAAACATATTATTCGTGAAAGAAAATTATGAAAATAGAAAAAACTAAGAAAATCAAATTTAAAGCTATTACAAATTACAATTAATAATTAATTTAAAAAATAATGTATATTAATAATATAAATAAAGATTTGTTGCCATATCAATATATTATGGAACATTTGGTTAGTCCCTGTTTTTCTTTTTATTAATGTGGTCAGTGCTAACACAAGATTGTCCAAATATGGTCTGTAAAAGAAATTTTCACCGTGTTAATGGCTGCAAACAGTTTATGAAAAGTATTTTGGCATTAATGTTCCTTAAAAATTTAGCCTAACTCAATATACAATTTATAAAATAAAGACTAAATTTATAAAGACTCGGTTTTCAAGTTCTCCTGTTTTATTAAGTGATCCTTAAATTAAAGAACTGAATAATACATTTTCTTAATTTTGAAGTATTTAAATATATTTAATTATAATAACTAGATGATTCAATGTTGAGCAGTCGTCCCCATGACTACACTAAATTAAAATTTAGGAAAAATAATGATAATCTAAATGTAATACCTCATATTAGACATATGGTGAGTATACTATATTTCGTTCCCGCAATATATTTATGATTCCTGCATGTTCCTAGGAATTCCCGTTGAATACCATTCCCAGGAATTGCCCATCTCTAAACATTATACTTATACATTACTCATTAGTTTTAAATAATATTGAAACAAAATCAACCATTTTCACATAGACTAATATTGAATTCCCGTTCTCTTCTTAAATATGGATCTGTGGTTTGGTATCCGTATTTAGTCAAAGACCAGCTTCGACTCAAACGTGTCCAAAATAAATTTTTCAACTTTATTGCCTTCAGAATGAATATTTACCACGAACCTCATGATTACTCCAATATAAGACAAGTTATAAACTCAATTCTAAATGGTTCTTTGGATGTTCCCTGATCTCCTTGCTGCCATCCCTTTCAGAGTTCCTTCTCAGAAACGAATCCCAATTTTATGATCACAATTATTCTCTACATCGCATGCTCAGAGCTGCAAACAACCAATAGTCCTTCGGCCTATATTTATAGTATTACTTTTACTAAAATACTACGAACCATATTATAATATGTACCTATACTCTGAATTATTGCTATCTAAATTATTTCTGTATTTAATTATGTAATTAAGTAACTATATAATCATTATAATCACACCTAAACCTTATTACCATCTTTTTAAAATATGTAAAATTGCTGTTTTGGAATTTAATATACAATAATAATAATAATAATAAGGTTAACAGCTCATATAGAAGTAGCTTTACTGGGATATACAAAAAATGAATAAAAATATATAAATATATTATTTTATTTTATTTACCCATTTAACATTGCTATTCTCATAATCTTTACTAAATTCTGTACTCTGAAATTGTTTTATGCTAATTTTTGCACAATTAAAATTACTTAAATGCAAACCAGTTATATTAAACCTACTATAATCTAATATCCACAATAAATTCATTTTCAATTAATAATTTCCTTAAAGTACAATTTTGGTTTAATCATGTTGTAATAAATTACATTCAATATATTACATACAGTTAATAAATTTCTAAAAATTAAAAATCAAGAAAGTTTACACAATCTCTGACTTGGCAAGCGTTTTTTTTTTTTTGTTATTGTTATATAAGTAAAAAATAATATGAAGATAATTAACAAAAAAAATGAATATTATTAGTGAGGATTCAGACCATATATAACCAATAATTTGGAACATTCATTCACTACCCTACCAATTGAACCATAAATTATTTTCAAACTAAATGCAGTTTGGATAAACTATTATTATCTGTTAAAATGTAAAATATACTTTTTGCGATATCTATGGAAATGTCTGAATATATTAGGTTAGTGTGAAATATCTTTTACCAATTAATTTTCATATGTAATATTATCATTAACCATGTATCTTAATAAAATATTTTTATATATTATCTGGCCTTCAATCTTCAACATTGTATTTTTTTTATATAATCATTGTTAACAATTTAAACAAACATATTATAATATATAAAATATTCATCACACATGCAAACAACTATATGAACTTAGGAAATTAGAATAAATAAAATAATCACTGAACTATGTTAGAAATTAGTGTTTGAAAAATACTGTGAGCTATTATTAATTGAATACCTATATAGCTATATTATATTATAATATGTACTATTTGTTTTGATATTCTATATTCGTATTTTTGCGGAGGTACTACAAGCAAGCGGTTCACTAAAATTTGTTTTGGCAATAATTTTATGTCAGAATTGTGTACTGTTTAATAAAATGTTTGCTCCTATCACTTACAGACTTTTCAACGGTTTAATGTTTCTGCACTTTCCGGTAACCTTTGAAAATATATTTTTGTTTTGGTGATTAACAAATATCATATTGTATCATATTATGCCCAAGCAATCAAACCATTTGCTTCTGTTACCTTCGCAAAAACGCCAATGTTTCCACTAAAAAAGTAATCTATTCAGTATTGTAATAAACACTTATTTATTGCATTTAAGTACCTATTACACCAATACTTTTTTTTATACAGAACATTAGAAAAATTTTAAATACTATTTTATTCAATACATTTTATAAGAAAGTTATAACAATATCATATTCTTATTTTTTATATTATACTCATAATACAGTATGGTCTATACCAAGGATATAGATACTACGGTTGCACAACGATCAATAATATAACACAGATATCTATACTAACTAGATATGGTACTAGACGAGTTTTACATTTACAGTAGTGAAGAGCTCTTATCACGCCATGTTTTCGGGGGTAAAAACAATGATTTGAATGTATGAAAAAGATACAATTTAAATTAATGTTCATGAAGTATTAAATTTAAAGATTTAAATTTAAACACTCATTCAATTTCACACCATAACTATATAAATAATAAATCATACATATATAGATTGATAAATGCATATTGTAGCAACTATTTGGGACTTATTAAATAACTTGAATGATATGGTGTGGTCTCGTAAAATAATCCATGTAACATCAGTTACATACACAGATATATTAACTTACTTTATATAATTATATATCTGTGATTATATATAAGTTAATTAATAATAATAATAATATAATAAAATAATTAATTTGATAATATACAAATCATTTCATATCATACTCAATTAATTTCAAAGAATAATGATTATTCAAATTTATAATTCGGGTATAAGGAGATATATACAGGGTGTCCCGTGAGGATTTACTCATTAGCCGTAGAGGGGGACTCGCCGCCCGGACAAAAACCAGTTTATTGGCGTTTTACTAATAACTAAAAAAATTATTAAAAATCATGAGATTAATGAAAATAAAATGTTAAGAGCTCAAAATGTTCACAAAAATATACTCTATAGAATGGCTATCTTCAATTTTTTCAAAAATAAAAAAATAAAAAATAATTTTTTTAACTTTTTTACTAAAAAATTTAATTTAATTAAAAATTAAATATTTGTAGTGCTTACCTCTGCGAGTCTTAATAAAAAAACATAATTACGATATCTCCATTATTTTAGGAGATATCGCAATGAGTAAATCCTCACGGGACACCCTGTATTTTAAATTTACTATATTATAATATTATTATAGAAAACAAATATAAAAAATTTAATACAAAGTAAATAAGTACAATAGATTCATGAATATGAAACAATTAAATATTATTAATAAGGTTTTGCACATAATTATTTATTGGTTATTAAAAAAAAATCAGCTTAGTTAACACACGGCATTTGTTATGATACATGAATGTGAAACAATTAAAAATTATTAATAAGGTTTTACACATAATTATTAACATTAGAATTAAAAACTAAATAAATGTATACACACCTATATACTATATAGAGTATACCTGCACATAGAGTGGTATGTGCCGTAGCATGACCGGTGCTTTATCTTATGTAAAAAGTGTAAAGTCGAAAACCGTGTTGGAGTTTCTAGCAAGTCAGTCATCTCAAGACAAAATCTATTAACTTTAAAGTTAGCCACTTAGGTAGGCAATCCGACTTCGTCGGATCGCGGACAACGTGCTACAAAAAATCAGGTAGG